TGGCCTTTGTGACTGCCACCAGATGACTGGGTGGGGCAACGCAAACGTGAGGTGCTTGTGGCCCACAAAGGCAACTGGACAGCGTGTTAATAATATAAATAAGGTACATGGCACCTTTGTGTGGTGGCCCATGGAAATAAGGTGTATGGAGCCCAAACATGGGGATTGGTCAGTTTGGCTATCTCACTAGGCTTCAATGAGCCCTCCCAGAGGAAGGATGGGAGATCTCACTACCATCAAGAAAGCAAAGATAGGAGTGGAGTGTGTACTTTGAACCCAAGATCCCTGTGCTGAACGTCCCAATCCGGGGGACACAGCTGTGATACCAGAGACAGCAAGAAGCAGAGGCAGAGAAATAGCAACAGAACCCGTGGAACCAAGAGACCAGCAAGAGACAGAGCAGTGGCTTCCCAGCCCGCAGAGCACGCGAGCTGAGTGCCCCAGGCCAGGACGCTTGCTGGCAGAGCGCATGCCTTTCTGGGTACCTATTGGCAGAGTTAACAAGCTTTGTAACATAGGCCCAAGCAGGACAGAGGCCAAGCCGGAGAGAAGGGTGGCTGTGACGCTAAGAAGAAGCTGTCCTGACTGAGGAACCGTATCCTGAGTCATTTCTGATCCCGAATCGTAACCTGTTACTTCTCTAATAAACCCCATAATCACGAGTATTGTCTGTGAGTTCTGCGTGGTCATTGTAAGGCATTATGGAGCCAACAGAGAAGCAGAAAATGGGGCAGCACAGACGGTTGATGTCAGAATTGGTAAAAAAAACCCGGAGGGTGGTGGCATGTCTGACCCCCATCTCATAGGAACCAGCCTCATAGGAACCAGCCTGGGCTGTTGATCTGCATCCTCTTTCCACCTCGTGAAGTTGGAGGAGGTCAGATTCCGCCCCCACACCAGCTGTACACAGACGGTGGGAGAAAGTCAAGAGGGGACAGAGTTTAGAAATGACCCCTGCTCTGGAGGTAAGCGGTTAGGCTGGGGCAGGAGACAGGGGCTACAGAGTGCATTTGGAACTGGTCAGTGAATGAATGAATGGATGAATGAAAGAACAAAGTTAAAAAAAAAAATCCGCAGAAAAGGAAAAGCTCATTTTGAGGGCTATCATGGGATACCCCAAAACCTCATTGCCGATGAGTCGATTCTAATTCATAGCGACCATACAGGACAGAGTAGAACTACCCCATAGGGTTTCCACAGCTGTACATCTTTATAGAAGTAGATGCCTCATCTTTCTCCCTTGGAGCAGCTGTTGGGTTTAAACCGCTGACTTTTCAGTTTGCAGCCAAGCACTTAACTACTAAGCCACCGAGGCTCCTGCAGCACGGACGGTGGTTCCCACAGTGTGGTGCCTCTACCAGCATCACCAGCACCACCTGGGTACTTGAATGAAATGCAAATTGTTGTTGTTGTTGTTGTTGTTATATGCCTTCGAGTCAGACCCAACTCATAGCGACCCCTCCTTGGGTTTCCAAGGCAGTATCACTACGGAAGTAGATTGCCCCATCTTCCTTCCGAGGAGTGGCTGGTGGGTTTGAACTGCCAGCCTTTGGTTAGCAGTCAAGTTCTCAGGCCCATCCAAACCAAAAAAACTCACTGCCATCGAGTCGAATCCAACTCACAGCGACCCCATTGGGTTTCCCAGGCTGTAAACCTTTATGGAAGCAGACAGCGTCATTTTCTTCAGTGGAGCAGCTGGTGGGTTTGAATCACCAACCTTGTAGTTAGCAGCCAAATGCCCTAACCACTGCACCACCAGCGCTCCATCAGGCCTACCCAGACCTGCTGAATCAGAAAGCCTGGGAGGGGGGCCCAGCCAGCTGTGGTATAACTGCCCTCCAGGTGATTCTGACAGCCACTCAAGTCTGGGAACCAGCCTCCGGGCTGCAAGAGGGCTGCTTGGCAGGGCTGGGGGTCTCATGGGACAGGGCAGGGCCACCCTGGCACCAGCTCTCACCTGTACATGTGGGGCAGCAGCTTCCATCTCTGGTGGGAATTGGGTGGGAACAGATAGCATCACACGTCACCTTTCCACAGGTCACCTCCCCATCCTGGAAGCAGAAGCAGGACTTATGGCCACCACAGTGCTTCAAGACACCAGAGCAGGGGGGCCCCTGGAATGCTCACACCCACCTCACACCAGCACTGGGTACACCCAGGCTCTATCCAGCGGCTCGCTGACTCATGCATGGCTCCCTGGTACCAGCAGGGAGAGGGTCCTGGAAGCAGCCTCATGCCTGCCTCTGGGCCCTGGGGCAGGGAAGGGGTCACTACTGCTTCCCTTTGGAGGGAAGGAGACCTGGGGCTCCCCAGCAGGGAGGCACTGGGCACCAGGGTGGCCATTGTGGTAGAGAGTAGTGGGGTTGGAGCAGGAGAGGAGGACGTGGGTAGTGCCGGGGTGGGAGGTGGCAGGCAGGTGGTCCTGACTCCGGTTGGGGGCCCTGGCGCCCCGGGAGGAGGGCTGTGTCCTGGGGAGAGGGCCGGCTGGCCAGCCTCTGGCAGCAGCAGTAGCATCTTGGGGGGGTGCTGTAGGGGCTGCAGGATGGCAGACGGAGCCAGCACGGCTTTCGGAAAAGCTGAAACGGAAGCACAGGGGGTGGCAGTGCAGAGGCAAGAGTCAGGGGACTGAGCTGCACACAAGGCCCAGAGTATCTCTGGGCCAGTCTCTTCACCAGCACAGTGGGTCTACAGCACCATCAGGGCCCAAGGCACCGGTGCTGTGGTGATGATCCCGTGAGAACACTGATGGAAAAGCACCAAACGAGCAGGAAGACCCCCAGCTGGGGACGCCGGAGGTCTGGCGGCTGCAGATGATGCAAGAACAGGCTGTTCTCCCAGCCCTTCTTCACAGGCCACCAGGGAGATGCGTGTTCTCCTGAGCCAGGCAGACCTCCCCACCCTCTAGAGGTTCTCCTGGGAATGACCCACCTCCTACGCCTGGGCCTGACAGGGCGGGAGTGTGTCCCCTGCTCTGCCACCTAGACGTGGCTTCCCTGGAAGGGATGCTGAGGTTCAAGGTGAAGGAATGGCCCAGGGACACTCCAGTCCCACGGCAGACAGGCCAGCTTCCACGAGGATACCCGCCGCCACACACACGCACACACACACACAAAAACAGGAAAGGGTGTTTTCCCCACCAAATTTACAAAATTTCATTGAGTGAATGAATGAATGAGTGGATGGAGCTAAAAAAGGATCTCCAGAAAAGGAAAGGATATCTCCGTGGCCAAATGGTCCAAAAAACAGAGGGAGAATCAGAAACTTAAGAGGAGATAAAAGGCCGCTGGGTGATGCAGTTTACATCAACTGCTAACCCAAAGGTTGGTGGTTTGTTCATTTATTTACTAGCAGCACCGAGAAGAAAAGGCAGAGGGAGTCCCTTCTGTAAAGACTACAGCAGAGAAAAGCCTGAGGGGCAGTTCCACCTTGTCACACACAGGAGCCAAGGGAGAAGGTGAGACTCATAGATTACAGGGAGACCAGGGAGAAAGGCTGTGTGCGGAGGGGAAATGAAGACAGGCAGCACAACTCACACCCGTGGGGAGTTCACACAGCCCGGGGACCCTAACGACGGATGAGTCACCAAGGATTAGAAAGGAGCCCTCTCCACGCTGACATGGGAACCACGACACACGGCCAGCGGAGAAACACAGAGGCTTAGGGAAGAGTCACCTTCATTATCTATGTGACACGATCAAACAAAAACCCAACCCACTGCCATCAAGCTGGTTCCCTGTAGGACAAGGAGAATGCCCCCTAGGGTTTCTAAGGCTGCCATCTTTACGGAAGCAGACTGCCACATCTTGCTCCCTTGGAGCAGTTGGGTTCAAACTGCCAACCTTTCAGTTAGCAGCTGAGTGCTTAACCACTGTGCCACCGGGCCTCCCATATGACACGATACACGTATTTATAGCCACAATTTTTTAAAGAAAGTCTCCATTTCCTTCTTCCCAGTAACCACTCATCCACTTCTGTCTCAAACCATCTGCTTGTTCTAGATACTTCATGGAAGTGGGATTGTGTTTGTCCTTCTATTTCAACTTATTTCATTTTGTTTTCAAGGTTCACGTGTGGCATATTTGAACCCTCCATGTTTCTTTATGGTTGAGTAACAGTCTGTGGTATGTCTATAGCCTGCTTTGTTTACCACTCACCTTTTGGCTCATGTAAGTACAGCTGCCATGAACACTGGCGTGCATGTATCTGCGTTTTCAAAGCTCTTGGGTATACACCTAGGAGCTGAATTGCTGGGCCACGTGGTAATTTCATGTTTAACTTTGTGAAGAACCATAGTGGCTGTACCAGTGTACATTCTCACGCATCCACACTTTTAAAGAACGGAAGAGAGGTCTGACCCTGACACTGTTCAAAGTGGCTGTCCGGGAGAGTTCAGCTGACTGGGAGGCCTACATCACATACTCCTCTACTGATTCCCCAAAACAAACCCACTGCCATCAGTCGATTCTGACTCACAGAGACCCCCTCTGGGTTTCCGAGGGAGTCAGTCTTTAAGGAAGTAGATTGCCCAGTCTTCCTTCCGCGGAGCCACTGGTGGGTTTGAACCACCAACGTTCTGGTTAGCAGTCAGATGCCTTAGGCACCACACCACCAGAGCCCCTTCCTCTAATGAGTAGCTTTTATTAAAAAAAAAAAAAAAAAAAAACTTTTACCGTTTGGATGTGAGGAGAATGGACATAGAGGGTTGTGGAAACAGGAGAAAATGAATAAAGAAGTGGAAGGAGAAAATGAGGAAGAACGTGTGGTATTGGAAATTACAAGATATGGTGGAAAAAAGTGAATGCGGAAGGCGAAGGATCCATGCTGAGGGGCGGGGCTTGGTGCTGGGAGGGCGGGGCCTGTGATGGGAAAATTAGCGCTGGGAAGGTGGAGCCTGACAGGAGGAGGCTGGGCCTGGAGCTGGGTAGGCAGGGCCTAGAGCGGAAGGGGCGGGGTCTGGTGCTGAGAGGGCGAGGCCTGGAGCTCACCTTCGCAGGACACGCGATCAGCTCGGAGCCTGAAGCCAGGTCTGCAGGTGCACAGGAAGCTGCCCACGGTGTTGTGGCAGGAATGGTGACAGACTCGCCGCTCCAGTGGCCGCCGACACTCATTTACATCTGCAAGAGAGCCTTGCTGCAGACACCTGCACGGTACCTTGTCATGGCTGCTCGGCCCTTCTTCCTCCCATCCCTTGGGCCAAAAGGCTGGGGGAGTTTTCCTGCCGTGTTCTTGTGGGGTCCACTTCTGCTCTAGGTTGGAAGATGTGGCTCAGATGGCTAGACCAAAAAAACCAAACTCACTGCGCTTGAGTTGGATCCAACTCATAGCGACCCCTCCTTGGGTTTCTAAGGCAGTATCTCTAGGGAAGTAGATTGCCTAGTCTTCCTTCCGAAGAGTGGCTGGTGGGTTTGAACAGCCAGCCTTCTGGTTAACAGTCAAATGTCTTAGGTAGGCACTATGCCACCAGAGCACCCCAGATGGCTAGAGTGGAGCTGAAATCTAGTGCTAGCCCCTTTCAAGGTCTCTGACATCCAGGGGGCACTTAAGAGAGGCAGCAGTGACTCTGAGCCTGGTCCTCATCGTCATTGAGAAATCACAGAAATGATTAAGTGCTGACTGGTGAGGATGAGCCCAGCTGAGAACCTCCTCTCCACACTTTCCTCTGTCCCACCTGTCTAGCTTTTGAAAACATGTCTCAAACATCCCAAGTTAGCAATTAGTACAAGCAACTGGTTCACCATGCAATCTTCAGCCTATACAACTATAAGAACAGAAGAACTAGATGGTGCCCAGCTACCACTGTCAACCACTCAGAGTGGGATCTGTGTAGGAAATCCAGAGTGGGACAACAATGTGGAACCAAACTCAAAATCATTAAAAAAAAAAAAAAAGGACCAAGCTTTCTGGTCTGATAGAACATGATGGAACCACTGAGACTATGGCCCCTAGCTGCCCTTCAGGTCTGGAACTGAACCCACTTCTGTGGTTTCCAGCCAAACAAAAAACAGGCATATGAGCTGAACAGTAGGCAAACACACTCCTTGGAGAGATCAATCATAGAAGAATAGAAGGGCTGTGTGTGCACAGGGAGACAGCTCAGGGGGCAGGAGTGCATGGGGGGAAGGACACAAGGAAGAAGTAACTATGGGGAGGAAGTGGAAAGGGAGCTGTTGCATTGTGGGATATTGCAGCCAATGTCTTGAGACAATATGTATGAGAGCCGCTGTATGGAAAGTGAATTTGTTCTGTAAACTTTTACCCAAATTACCATAAAAGTTAAAAAAAAAAAAATCCAAAGTTAGGCCTTGGAATAAATACCTAATTCCTTTAGAACAAGGTGTTTTTTCAGGCCCATGGAACCCCACCTTCAACCCATGAGCCAAGCTGAAGCCAAACATGCCACTTCCTTTCTGGAAATTTCTGCCGAGAAAAAAGGGATCTCCTTCTAACTAGAGGCACCATGCCACAGGTGCTTTATTTACCGAGGGAACAAAGGCAGCCGAGAAAATGGGTCAACAGAGAGGGTCCTTGGAGTGTATCTGGGACAGGGCAGAAGAGCAGCATACCGGGATAAAAGGGGCATGAGGTCAGGAAAGCTCAAGACGGGGTCTTCCACAAGGAGCCACACTAACCCCCGGGGAAAGGCAGGCTCTGAGCAAAGCGCTCGACCCCGCCGGGTCCACAGGACCAGGAGGTCTAGCTTGGCGACCTCTCCCGATCCCTGGACTCACGCTCATTTTCCTGATTGGCAGCCTAAATGGTAGACAACAGGGTCCCCAGGGCCTCACCTACACAGGAGTGCCGGTTGCCATGGAGATGGAAGCCGGTTCGACAGGAACACCTGTAGCTGCCAATGCTGTTTTTACACCTCTGCTGACAAGGGGTCCCCAGGCATTCGTCAGTGTCTGGAAGGGAAAGGAGCAAGGCTGCAGCCCTCTTCCCATGGAGTTTTGGGAACATGTGGTCCCCTCTTTGTGTCTCGACCACAGGTGGGGCCACGAAGGCTCATCCCAACCCCCTTTCTGCTTCACCACCCACATTCAGTCTGTTGTCCTGTGCTGTCAAGTTCATTCCAGCTCACAGCAGCCCCGCAGGACAGCGGAACTGCCCATGGCCATTTCTAGGCTGCAGTCTTCAGGGGAGCAGATCGTCTGGTCTTTTGTCCCACGGAGCCACAAGATGGTTTCAAAACGTTTCGGTTAGTAGCAGCGTGCTTAATCGTTGCACTTGTTGTTGTTGTTATGTGCTGTCAAGTCGGACCTGACTCATAGCGACCCCTCCTTGGGTTTCCGGGGCAGTATCGCTACGGAAGTAGATTGCCCCATCTTCCTTCCAAGGTGGGTTTGAACTACCAGCCTTCTGGTTAGCAGTCAAGTGCCGCAGGCACTACGCTACCTGAGCTCCCAGTCGTTGCACTATCAACCCCTAAATACCCCCTGGACCAGCTCACTTTTCTCCATCCTGCACCACCTTGGTCCCTGGTCTAGTCTCCTATGTGCCTCCCTGTCTCTACTCATACTTCTTCCAAGCCATCCTCGCCACGTCTCCAGGAGGTTCTGACCAAACAGCACCTCTGCTCACGCCACTTCCTGCTCAAAACCTCTCTGTTTTGCACATGGCCTTAGGATAAGGCACCAACATTTTATCATAGCTCCTGAGGCCTTTAAACTTCACCCCAGGCTGCCCTTCCACCTCCTTCTGTGCCTCTCATCTTGGCTCTGGCTTAAATTCTTGCCATCTTCCAAAGGCACCACACTCTTAGAGGCCTCCCCCTCTGCCTGTATTCTTCTGTCCACCTGGAATGCCATTCCTTCTTGTTTGGCTGGAAGACTCCTACTCATACCTCAAAACTCAGTTTATATAGCACTTCCTCTGTAAAAGTTTCCCCATGTTGTTGTTTCAAATTGTGCTAAACAGTAAAAAATCTGCATGGTCATCAATAAGAGAAAAGTTAGAAGACTACAGAATATTTTGCACTGCAGAGTATCGTGCAGCAGTAACAAAGAACCAGGTATCTAAAACTTTAATATGGAGAGATGTTCAAGACATTGTTGAGGTGGTGGTGGCGAGGGGAACATGCAGAGGAACTCCTGGGATCAAATTCCAGCTCTAACATGATCCTGGTAAGAGAATTTCTTTAATCCTCAGTATTCCTATCAGAAGGAGCTGGTGGGGCAGTGCTTAAGGCACTCAGCTGTTAACCAAAAGATTGCTGGTTTGAACCCATCAGCCACTCCGGTAGAGAAAGATTACAGCTTTGGAAACCCCATGGGGCAGTTCTACTCTGTCCTGTAGGGTTGCTATGAGTCAGAATTGACTCAATGACAGTGGGTTTGGATTGAATTTTTTTTTTAATGGTTCTGGTAGCATAGTGGCTAAAGCACTTGACTGCTAACCAGAAGGCTGGCGGTTCAAACCC